AATGTTCTCTATAGGTGAAAGATCTGGACTGCAGGCTGGCCATTTCAGTACCCGGATCCTTCTCCTACATAGCCATGATGTTGTGATTGCTGCAGAATGTGGTCTGGCATTATCGTGTTGAAAAATGCAGGGTCTTCCCTGAAAGAGATGCCGTCTAGATGGGAGCATATGTTGTTCTAGAACCTGAACATAGTTCTCTGCATTAATGGTGCCTTTCCAGACATGCAAGCTGCCCATGCCACAAGCGCTCATGGCGATGACATGGTGTCCCAGTGTTCCATAAAGAACTTCAAATTGTGACTCATCTGACCACAGAACAGTCTTCCATTTTGCCACACTCCATTTTAAATGACCCCTGGCCCAGTGCAAACGTCTGAGCTTGTGGAGCTTGCTTAGAAATGGCTTCCTCTTTGCACTGTAGAGTTTCAGCTGGCAACAGTGGAAGGGACGGTGGATTGTGTTCACTGACAATGCTTTCTGGAAGTATTCCTGAGCCCATTCTGTTATTTCCTTGACAGTGGCATTCCTGTTTGAGGTGCAGTGGCGTTTAAGGGCCCGGAGATCACGAGCATCCAGTAGAGTTTTATGGCCTTGACCCTTACGCACAGCGATTGTTCCAGATTCTCTGAATCTTTTGATGATGTTATGCACGGTTGATGATGATAACTTAAAAGTCTTTGCTATTTTACTCTGGGTAACACCATTCTGGTATTGCTGCACTATCTTTCTGCGCAACAATGGTGGAATTGGTGATCCTCTTACCATCTTGGCTTCTGAGAGACACTGACACTTTGAGAAGCTCTTTTTATACCCAATCATGTTGTCAAATGACCTAATTAGTGTTAAATGGTCTTCCAGCTGTTCGTTATATGCTCAATTTCCTTTTTCCAGCCACTTATTGCTACTTGTCCCAACTTTTTTGGGATTTGTTGACACTGTGAAATTTTGAATCAACATATTTTTCCTTTAAAATGTTACATTTACTCAGATTAAACTTTTGATCTGTCATCTATGTTATATTACGAATAAAATATTGACATTTGCCATCTCCACATCATTGCATTCAGTTTTTATTCACAATTTGTTTAGTGTCCCAACTTTTTTGGAATCCGGTTTGTACACATACCTCTCCAGTTCCCATTTCATAGGGTGGCCTGTTTATTCAAAATTTCATCAAAAGCACAAACTATTGTAATGGGAGCCTTTTTTTTTTACAACAACAAGATTTTTTTTTTTTTTTTTTTTTTTTACTGAATGATTAAAGACTTGCAAATATGTGTTAGACAATCATTTTTTTACAATTTTCAATTTTCATTAACTCATCCCGCAGATTTTAGTGCCACCTTTGAATAAATGTAGAATCATCTAATGAAACGCGTAAATGCATTTTGAGGATTTCTATCATTTCAAGTGTTATTTTTGTTGCTGCAGCTCTTACAAAAAAAAGTAACTTTGCTTAAAATACAGTCAGCCTTTTATTTTTTTATAGGCACCTGTGCCTCAAAGGAACAGGTTCTCCACCATGAGCATAATGCATTTTTAAAATGCATTCACAATAAATGCTGTCAAGACACAGAAGGCTACACATTTCCTCCAATAAGGTTTTTGAAGATGTGTGCTTTACCAATCAGCTGGAGGGAAAAACTGGTTTCACTTCCGTATATATGTCATCTTAGAAGTGTGCATGAGAGACGTTGCAACGTTAACATCCAATATCGCTGGCTTAAACTGAATGAGGGAGTGAGAGAGAGCCAGAGCTGCTACACACACACACACACACACACACACACACACACACACACACACACACACACACACACACACACACACACACACACACACACACACACACACACACACACACACACACACACAGACACACAGAGAGAACAATTTGTGACTGCATCTGTTTTGCTATCTGCAGAGCAGAAGCAAAGGCCTGCCAGGCAATTAGCTGGCTGCGATGATTTCTTTGAGCCCTCTGAGGAACCAGCAGCTGCTTCTACTTGGGTTTTGAGGACATAAACAAAATGTGTGAACACAGACATCAAAAATCAACTTTCTTTGTTCTCATGTCTGTGGGATGTAAGTCTGCATGCAAAAGTGGCTGTGTGCATTTGTGCCTGTAAAGTTCTTGTAAATTTAAAAATAATAATGTCATCTTCAAAGAAAAAACATGTGTTCCACACATCGGTGTTCACATTCAGGATCCAACAGGTCCCACTATGACACTCGATGCACAAGATCATTCCACAGGAAACAAACGGATCGTTGTGAAATACTTCAGCTGACAGCAAACAATGAACAGAACAACGTACAGAAAAAAAGAACAGAGAGAAAAGGTATAAGGAAAAGAGCAAACAAAACAGTGAGACTGTGAGCTGGTACAGATTTGCACTGCCGTGAACACTTTTGTGCTTCTTCTTAAGGAGATTAATATGGAGTCGCACAAGCTGACATCAAAGAGCAGTTTGACAGGCTCCTGATCTTTTACAGCATCCGTATAAATCAAGAAGAAACTTCTTAGCAACCACTGACAATTCTTAAAGTTTTCAAAAGATAGAAATGGACGAGTCAATGAATGGCAGTCAAGTGGTCTTTGTTACCATCCCGTAACAAGGTCCCTAAATTTTAGGAAGGGAAAAAAGCAGCTTTCAACTTTTAACAGTAGCAAAGCGTGCTTCAGTTATGTGCAGGGAGCCACAGAAACATGCACATGCAGAAGGTAAAGGCTCCCGTCTTGATAAGTGTTTGACCTTTTCACATCAGCTGTCTTAATGGATTTTGGAAACATTTGATCCAGTGCACCCAGTGCATTTAATCTGTAATAAAAGAGCAAAGACAGCAGCTCATCTGCTCTGATGACCACAATGGCATTAACGTACAACTTTATGTTATTGTATATTTGACGTATATTTCCTTTTATAAAAAGTGTAAATTGTCTCGGTAGTCGAACAGCTGAATTTCCAAGAAGAAAATAAATTCACTGCACAAACACATTTCCCTCATATTTCATCGTGTTCTTGCTGATGAGAAGTTGAACTGACACCAAGGTGAAAGTTGATTTAAATGCCTTGTGAGTTATGTTTAGACACAAACCCATGGCCACCTTTATGCAGCCTTAAGACATTTAGTTTGTGATCTAAAGAATGAAAAAATAAAGTGGTCACAGATTTGGCTTACAGCTTTATTCAATATAAACTAAATAATAAGCTTTGAAAATGGAATCCTGATTTATTTCACACTCTTTGTAACCTTATCAGAAAAAAATGTATGATAAAGTCCAGGAGATGTGGCAAGAAGAGAAGGGTAATTAATCTTTTGTGTTTTTTATGCGTGAAGCTTCTTTAAGACTTTAACATAATCAGTAAAACAGTATTTGTCCTTATTTAGCAACAAGTGTCAAAGTTTAACTTGCCATCTTGATTTTATTTGATAAACTTGGTTATGAAAAGTTTAGAAACAAAAGCAAACAGCAGTGAAAAGATTCATATCACTTCCACTGCAGGTCTCGTTATTTAGACTAAAAAAACCTCTTTGGCCGTTAAGATGTTTCACTCCCTGAGCTTTATTGGAATTCACAGCATAAAACCAAATATAATTTAATTGTGAAGTTAAAACATTTGTTTAATAAAGTATAATGGGGGGAAAAAATGGAAAACGTCTGTAATAAAGAAACAAAAGCCAAAGAAACGCACAAATTAAAAATATAGAGCTCCAACAACACAAAAACAAAATGCTACAAGTGGTATGTCACACAGCATCTTGTTCAGAAGGTAAAGCCTCTTTTAGTTCTCATAAAGTCCAACTGAGATGAGGGACTCGGCCTGAAGACGCTCCCTGGTTAAATTATTCATTATAGACGAGGCTGACGGACTGAGTGTGTGTGTGAGGCTGCTCACTGCATAATTAAAGACATGAAAAATAATCAATAACTATGTAAAAATTATCAATTTTTATATATATATATATATATATATTTATATATATATATATATATTTATATATTAATATTTTTATATTAAATTACAATATTCCAATTAAAACTAAGCAAAAAAGTATCACCAAGCAACAAAATAAAATAAAATAAAACAAAAGTTGGTTTATTATAGGCTGGGCCAGTTCATCAAGAGATCAAGCTGCAGGTGCATTCAACATTTTAATAAATATTTATAAATCATACAAAATATGTTTTAATCTCACATGAATGTGACAAAATAGGTTTTCAAAAAGATTATATAAATGATGTTAATAATAGTAGGTTTGGCTGCTCCCTTCTTCAGGGGTCAGCACAGCGCATGAAGTCTTTGGTAATTAGTTTTACGCCTTTCATGACACAACCTGTGAAATTATGTTAATATTAAATGAAAATAAGTAATTGTTGCAATAATAATTGCAGTAATACTAATCTATAGAAAAATAGTCCAGATATCCATAGGCCCATGGTGTTAAACAGCAATTTAAATCCATGAAAGAAACCAAATTTACAAACGCAACGCACCTTGAAAAAAAAAAAAAAAACGCGCAAAAGCCGCGCGCAAAAACAACCAAATTAAAAAATAAATAAACTTAAAGCTCACTATTTAGAGAAACGTCGAAATTTGTGTTATATCCAAAAATAAAGAAAAAGAAAAAACATCTAACTAAAAAATAAATGTAAACTAAAGACTATAGAATTGTTCAGCTCTCGCTCCTCAAAGCGCACAGAGCTGAACGGTGCGCGTGCAGCCCTCCTGAACACGCTGTTTTACAGTTGTCTACGAGCGCACTGACGTTATAAAGTGAACCGTTTGGTTTCTGCGTGCGTGTAGCCGGGAGCAGCGCGGAGCTCCGTGCGCCCAGCTGCTGCTGCTGAGGAGGACTGAGCGTCTCCTGCAGGACGCGCTCCCTCTGGCTGCGCGCTCATTGGCTGCTCCCACTGACAGCTCCGCACATGATTGCAGGAGGAGAAGCCCGGCCCCCTCACCGTCCGCCAGAGGAACCATTCATAAACTACACGGATCCAACTCCGAGCTGAGAGTGGACGGGAAGTGAGCGGCGGGGGCTCAGGAGCGGCACCGAGTAGAGATGAGGGCTCCCCCACGGTGTCTGTAAGTCTCTGCACGCGGAAGGTGATCCACAGACCTGAACATGAATCTCCGTAAGTCACTGGAAGTGCTCATGAGGTGGACTGATATTTAGCAGGCTACCCCCCTATCCGTTTCCTCCTCCTCACACTGACGTCCATCCGCTGCTGAAGCAAGAAAAAAATAGAAGGAACAAAAAAAGAAACTTTGCACATTTCCCTGCACTGGACGCGTGCCTCGGGCTTCACCGGTAAGCGTTGGATCCGTCAACTTACTGCGACTCTCCGGTGTTCAGCCCGGACCTCTGCCCCAACATGATCGCCACGCAAGCCAAGCTGGTCTACCAGCTCAACAAATACTACAGCGAGAGGTGCCAGGCGCGCAAGGCGGCCATTGCGAAGACTATAAGGGAGGTTTGCAAAGTGGTGTCAGATGTCCTTAAAGAGGTGGAGGTGCAGGAGCCCCGCTTCATCAGCTCCCTGAGTGAGATAGACGCGCGCTACGAGGGGATGGAGGTCATCTCCCCCAACGAGTTCGAGGTGGTGCTGTACCTCAACCAGATGGGGGTGTTCAACTTCGTGGACGACGGCTCTTTGCCCGGCTGCGCGGTGCTGAAGCTGAGCGACGGCCGCAAACGCAGCATGTCTCTGTGGGTGGAGTTCATCACCGCCTCGGGCTACCTCTCCGCCCGGAAGATCCGCTCCCGGTTCCAGACTCTGGTGGCGCAGGCCGTGGACAAATGCAGCTACCGCGACGTGGTGAAGATGGTGGCCGACACCAGCGAGGTGAAGCTGCGCATCCGGGAGCGGTACGTGGTGCAGATCACGCCCGCCTTCAAGTGCACGGGGATCTGGCCTCGGAGCGCGGCGCAGTGGCCCATGCCGCACATTCCGTGGCCCGGGCCGAACCGGGTGGCGGAAGTGAAGGCGGAGGGCTTCAACCTCCTCTCCAAGGAATGTTACTCCCTGACGGGGAAGCAGAGCTCGGCGGAGAGCGACGCGTGGGTGCTGCAGTTCAGCGAGGCCGAGAACCGGCTGCTGATGGGCGGCTGCAGGAAGAAGTGCCTGTCGGTGCTGAAGACCCTGCGGGACCGACACCTGGAGCTGCCGGGCCAGCCGCTCAACAACTACCACATGAAGACCCTGCTGCTGTACGAGTGCGAGAAGCACCCGAGGGAGACGGACTGGGACGAGGCGTGCCTCGGAGACCGGCTCAACGGCATCCTGCTGCAGCTCATCTCGTGCCTGCAGTGCCGCAGATGCCCCCACTACTTCCTGCCCAACTTGGACCTGTTTCAGGGGAAGCCCCACTCGGCCCTGGAGGCTGCTGCCAAGCAGACGTGGAGACTGGCGAGGGAGATCCTCACCAACGCCAAAAGTTTGGACAAATTATAAACCGGCTGAACCCAGAGACACATTCTGGGATCAAATGAAAAAACAGATTTCCAACCGAGTCTCCACGAAATGTGAAAATAATAACAATCTGTAAAAAAAATTAAAAAAATGCAGCAACAAACCCAGAGGCAAAACTGTGCTGGGAGATTTGGAGCAATTTGGCCACTTCAAGACAAAACCAAGGTACATTTTCAGATAAACGTAACATCTCTGTTCTTTAAACGTTTTCACAAAGTGAAGAACCTTTTATTTAAATACATGCACAGAATGGTTCGGTAAAACAAGAAACTGTAGTGTGCCAAGTTTTTTTTTTTGTGTTTGTTTTTTTATGTGACGTGAGAACAAATGCTAATAAAATGTTGCAAATTAAATTAAAACTTGGCCTTGTGTTTGGACACAATCTGTTGCTTTTTTTTTTTTTTTTACTCAACAAAACGGGTCCTTAAAATCTAAAGTAAACTCATGGATGAGGGGAGGGAGAAACAAAAACCCAAAGGCTTTGTGGGAATTTGAAAATGCAGCAACTTTGGGCCATCGGTTGCGTTTGCAGAGCCTTGCAGGCTGGGGGGTGGGGGGGTAAAATAAATGTGGATTTATACTAACATGTAACTCTGCGTTTTGTTTAAACTGCAGCTCGAACAGCAGAGCTGATCCTCAATCTGGTTATTTAACTTCAGCCATGCATCTCTAATTATGACACTTCTGCCGCTGTGTTTATTGAGATGTCTCGACATTCAAATCAAACCGGAGTTTATTAAAATACACACCAGAGTTAAAACCACCTGTTAAGAACATGTATAGCTGAAATTCATTATCAGAATGTACTGTACTCGCAGATGTCCTAAATAATTTAAATTGCTGAATTATATTTGTACTCACAAAAAATAGAATTTTTAATTTTTTTTGTTAAAAAAAAATCAGCAACTGTTGAAATAGCAGCTGTCATTTTAAGAGCTTTACACAAACTTGGATTTATTTATTTTTTCAAACATCTGTATTTAGCAGCACTGCAGCTGGATCAGCATGCAGACCCCCCTACCTTTGGGTCGATGGTCTTAAAGGCCGGCTCGTCTTCATCCACCTCGAAGAAGAGCTCGGACGCGGTGACGGACAGGGTGCCTTTCACCACCACAGCCGGAGCCACGAGCTCAGCACTGGTGCTCAGGTTTACTGGGCCTGGAGGAGGAGGGGGGGACACAAAGATCTGACTCAGAAACCAACTAACCCGTGCCACAGCTTTCCACAAAAATAAATAAATACAAACTGACTCACAAACAGATCGCTGCGGCGCGTTATTATCATTGTTTTTTTTTTTTTTTTTTTTTTTTTTTTTTAATTCACGCAAATCCGAACGCGTGCAGAGAAGCTTACGTCATCGAACCAAACGAGATGAACTCCAAACTTCACGTGAACCATAAAACACGGAGCTGTGAAGATTTTGGTAAACAGGCAGTATTGGCTGTCCGTCAGAGGCAATTGATTGCGGGTTTTCGCGGGGGGTGGGGGTGTTAGCGGTTTCACCTGTCATCAATCTTAATTTGGGGGGGGGGGGGGGGGGGGGTCGGGCCGGCGGGGGTGGGTGAGTGGGGGGGGGGGGGGGGGGGGGGGGGGGGGACTGAGCAGCCGGCCCCGGGGAGCTCTGGAGCTGCTCTGCCCGGCTGCCTCGGCTTCAGGGCGGGGAGGCGCGCTGCTGCTGCCGCCGAGCTGCGGCCTTCATTTCTGTTGCATTCACCCCCCCCCCCCCCCCCCCCCCCGACTGAAGCCCGGCATACAGACACGTTACCCCACGATTTAAATAAATACATTTTGTTGTACACTGCCTCACTCGAAGCAGACATGTTTACGATGAGTTTATGTACAACTTTTATGCATTCTCCTCTCATACTATTATTCTTTATGTAACAATTATGTCCATTTTGTTATTTTAATAGCACCATAACCCCTCCCCCGATGAGTCTGTTGGATTTGCGCACATACAATGCGGATTATAATGCAATCCTATTAGCTAACAATAATACATTTAATTAGCCTAAAGGGATCAAAAGACAATTAAGACAAATTCAGTCTTTTTTGGTTGTATTCTCATAATAAACTCAAGCTGACACGCACATTTTATTTATAGGAAAACATTTCATGTTATTCTGGAAAAAAAAAAATTATCCACTGATGGAATAAAAAATTTTTTTTTGGAGAATTTGTATTAAGTTTAGTGGATTTTTGAAGCAGAATATCTAGTAATGGACACTTAATGTGTTTCTGTCTTTACTCGTGAGAAAAATGTCGAGTAAATATTTAGACTTATTAGAAAATATTTTATTGTTATCATTTTAAACGTTAAAAAAAAAAAAAAATCACAAGGCAGAAACTTTAAATTAATTATTGCTCATGCGAAAAGGAAACCGGAGCAACAGCCAAAATGTTTTTTTTTCTGCATAAATAAGTTAAACAATTACAGTAAAAATATTAATACTAATAAAGTGATGCTGCATTTTAAATTTAGATTAAACTGCAGGAAAATCGCTGAACAAGAAGGGAAAGGATAAGAATGACGCCGAGGCAGGTGAAGAAGCTGCTTCTTTATTTGACGTTTACCTGTTAGGTTTTCCAGGTCCTTCTCGTCTAAGGAGGACAACGTGTCATCGTCTCCGTCCAGTGACGTCTCACTGTCAGAGTTCTGATTTCCCAGAACCTGACTCTTGATGGACTGCTTCCCTTTGAGAACGTCCTCCTCCGATGCTAGAAGAGGGGAAAGGACCTTATGTTTCACGCAGAACACAAAGTTGCAAATATCGGTGCACATTATGTTTAACATGCAACAAATCCAGGTTTGACTCATCATGTGAAGCAGGTTTTATTTATTTAAAATCAAAAGATTTTATTAGCTGTCATGAAGATATAGGATTATTCTAAAAGTTGAATTAAAAGTTTTATGCAATTTGTCCTTGTTAAAATTACACAAAATCTAAATTTGAAGTTCAATTTCAGTGTTTCACCCTAAAACAGAAACGTTCAAATATTTAGATTAAAACCATGAGTTTTGAATTGTTTCAGTCTTAAGAGTTTAATTTTTGTTCGCTTTAGTCTGGAAATAAACCAAGTATAGCTTACTTGGTTTATGGGCGACTTTGGACTAAGAATCTGCCAAACATTGATCAACAGGTAGAGGAGATCGTTTCAGCAGCATCAGGCAAACTGAAGATGACAAAAATTAAATCCTGACCCGAAGCCCAACTCTAAATAAATCCTTCCATTTTAATATCAAAGATTAGATAAAAACATGAAGGATCCGTGCTCTTTTTTAAATTATATTGAAAGTGACTTGGGTTTCAACAAACATTATTTAGGTTAAAGAACAATCTACACAATTAAAAAAAAAAAGTTCCAGTGGTTTATTTTAAAGATCCACAAAACAGCTGGCAGGGTATTTCCTGTTTGTCAACAGTGAGAGCGGTGGCGGCTGCTAATCCAGCGTTTTAGTGAAAGGCACCCATGTTTCAGTCGAGTGCATCATCCAACGCAGATCCACGGGGCTTTTTGGTCATCACCTGAGCTTGAGGGCAGATCAACCGCGCCACTTTGAATCTGCTGGAGGAGAAAGCCTAAAAGAGACAAAAATCTCTTGTCGTGGAAAATATGCGGCTAGCTGATATTTAGAACGGCCTTCCTGTAATTAAGCCTCCCTTGAGGATTCTTTAGTTAGCAGCGGTGAAATTACTACCAGCTCTCCTAATACTTACCACATGCCATTGTATTTGCACCATGAAAGTGGACAGGGGGCTTGTTAGGTAAAAAACAGATAAACTTCAATAACAGTTCTCATTTTAAGTTCAGGACGAGAATGAAACAGAAAAAAAACTGGATTAAACAGATATGAAGACACTTCTTTAACACAAAACCAAACACGAATCAACAAATTAACTGTTGACCCCAACTACAAACACCATAGAAAAGATATTTTAGATGAATATTCAACCCTTTTAAGCAGCAAAATGAGGATGTAGGAGACAAACCATGCGCCAACTTCTCACCGTGTCTGCTTCTATAGCGTAGATACGGTTTATTTATTTTTCCTTTTCTTTAATTTGACAGCCCGGAGGTTTTGGCAAGGCTGCACGTGCGTCTCTGACTGAAGTGGCGTTCGAGGGCTGGGGAATCATAATAAACATGCCAGCTCAGGAGACTGTAGTTCAGCTTTAGTGTACAAACATTTAGCGGGAGGACTTCGGTGATCAAAGCGTGACGCAGCGGACACAAAAGACGGACGTGAAACATTTCAAGCGGTGCTAATAAAACAACTACAGTAGCCTAAAACAGGACAAATAAATACTGATTCAAATGCAAATAAAGTCTAAATTAAATTCACAATTTGTATAAACTTGACAATACGGTTTAATAATACCGTATTTTTCGGACTATAAGGCGCAATATCAATGAACAGGTCTGTTTTCATACATAAGGTGCACTGGATTATAAAAATAAAATAAATGTGTTGTCAACATACGTTTCCATACAACGGCAAAATTGTGTCTGCATTTAACCCATCGCACCGTGATACACTCAGGTGGCGCAGTCGGCAGCTAGTTAAAGCGCCCGGGGAGCAATTGAGGACAATGTGTCCTGCTCAGAGACACCACGAGATGTGCAATGACCGGGGATCGAACCCGGGACTTTCGGGTCCAGAGTCGGCCGCCCTGCTTCTATTATAAGACGCATTAAGTGAAAAACAGTCGGATAATTCAAACTTTATTCAACTCATTCACAATAACCACATAAAACCAGTTCGAGGTCAGTAAGCACAACCAGGATTAATACATAAGGTGCACCTGATTATACGGCTCACTGTGGATTTTTGAGAAAATTAAAGGATTTTAAGTGCGCCTTATAGTCCGAAAAATACGGTAATTGACGATTAACAATAACTGACAATAAACTTTAAAAAAAATGAATGAAAGTTTATTCATAAAGTTTGTCACAGAAGGAGCATAAATGTGGATAAATCTCAACAGGTTACTCTTTTTCCAGCACCCCACCCCTCCCACCACATACTGACCAACAAGCTGCTTATTCGATTTAAGGCATGCATGGTCACAGCAATTAAATTGTCAGAATTAACTAATTTGCTTTTAACGGGAGCGCAGCCAGGAGTGTGGTCATGAGGCGAGTATTGATTACCAGAACAGAGACATTAGTCTTCAGGTATTTACTCTGCCACCTCTGGTACGCGAGCCCCCCGTACCAGACCAAATCAATCCCCAGAAAAGATGGCTGTTTCCCGCTGTAAACACATAGAAGCCCACTCAGAGCCTATAGATGCTTTCCTGTGGAAACCACCCCGACACCGCATGAATCATAACAGTATAACACAGAAATGCACTTTCTCTAAAAAAATTTTTTTTTAATTTTACCTGAAATGACCAAAAAATAATAATTTGTATTGGTCTTGAATGAAACAAGTATCCAACAAATGAGGGTAAGACTTGGTACTGGTAGTAAACATTCTGCATTTTCTCCCCTCTGCATCTGATGAATATTATTACAGCTAAAATTGACCTTTGCGCTCCGTGTGAAAACTCAATCTGGCATTCTCCTCTCGAGCAGTACTTCTGTAACAAATGTCGGGTCGACTAAAACGAGGCGAAAGGTTACAACAGAAAAAAGATGCAGTCAGTGACTTATTTTAATGATATATTCTCGTAGTTTAGCCAAGCAGTAAAACCATTATATATATATATATATATATATATATATATATATATTTATATATATATATATATATATAAAGTTACCAGAGCATGTTTTCTTCTGCCACAGATTAACAAACACAAACTAAAGGAGTCCTTCAGCACATTACTCTGACAAATAAATAAATAAACTATGCAAACAACACAGGAATAAGTGAATTTTCTTTGCGTGTGACCAAGCTGAAATGGAAACATGAGGAACTACGGTGTAAAGTTAAATGTGAGGCTGGGAGCAAAGGAGCGGTGACCAGCTGGACTCCGGCCTCGCTGCACAGCTGCAGCCATTACTGCACCCCCCCCCCCCCCCCCCCCAGTCTCCCAGGATCCTGCACTCCCCAACTCTTATTGCTTTTAGATCATATTCTTATTGACTCCTGTCACACCTGCCGTTTGTCTTCAGGAAAGACAATGCATTTAATGGGACATTTGCAGGCGACACATTGAGGACATTTCTTTGAAACGGTCATTTCCTGACTGCGCAGCTTAACGTAGGCCCGAGCAGGACGATGATTGCAAAACCTGCTGGATGCTGAATAAGTGCAGGCATGAAAGATTATTTAGAAAGAAGATGCGAGTCCTGGTGTTAATGGAGGGATGTGTTATTTATTCTGCTTAAGAGATCTTTTGGTGATGCACCTCACACTTCCAGTGAGGTTGTTGAAAATTAAGATAAAAGGAGCAAAATGACAATATCGATCACTAATATTTTTCTAATGCAATTAAAAATAATTATTATTTAGGTTCTTACAATTTTATCTTGATTTATGACTTGACATAAAAAAATTAAAAATAAATCCTTGTTTTGCTTGAAGAAATGCACCTAAGGGGCCATTTGTGACTTCTTATGATGTACTGTCTAAAAATACATTTTTCATTTCAGTTGCAAAAACTATGAGCTGGTAATAAATGAGGGAAAAGCAAAAGCTCTTTAATCCTTAAAATATAAAAATCACAAGAGGCCGAGCACAGAATTCGACCAGTACTTACCTTAAATATCAGCCAGTTATGCAGCCATTTTTATGTCGTTTGACTTATGACTCACTGACGCAGTCAAAATAAAAAATAAAAAACAACAACGAAAAAGCTAATGGGACATAAGAGTTTGAAAAAAAGGGGGGGGGGGGGATCTGAAATTGAAATGCGGGTGTGATTTTACTGCGTGCCGTGGTTCAATAAATCTTTTACTGCAACAGGAGGACTAATTTTTATTGCCTTGTACCTGATGCTAGTGGGGAAAAAAAGGGATTGGGGGGGGGGGGGGGGTAAATTAAAGAGCAGATTTGTGCAGATGTGGTGGACTGACCGTGCTCGGCCGCTGCTTTGAGCGTAGCTTCTGAGTGACTCGATCCGAAGGGGTTCCTGACGAAGCGGCGTCGCCTCCTTAAATCGTCCTCCCAGTAGTCCAGGCGCCAGAACTCCCTCGGCCGGCTGCAGGGAGACAGAGGTAGCACATGTGTTAGCAATTACTAGTCAGCATGGTACAGCAGCACAGCGTTAGCACTTGGTCCTAGCAATCGTACATAAAGCCCACATTGTGTTCGGAGAGCCTCTCTCTCCATTTCTTTTAGGATCCCTTCTCATGCTGAGACCTAAGACACTGCAGCCTTGCTCCTGACAATAACTTGATCACCATATCAGAGGGGAAAGTGTTTCCTCTCATGTCACACTACACCCCCCCCCACCCTGCCAAACTCCTTGTGCTGAGGTGATCTGTGAGAATCACAGATGAGTTAACACATGACACCATGATGATTTTACACTCACGCTTGTGGCACGTGCTTCCATTCTGGGCCCGTTTGAAACCCTGCAGGTTACGTCTTGTCAAGACTCATGGCTAGCAGGATAAGGAAAAGGCTATTATATTTACAGAAGGGGGGAGTGAGGGTGGATAGCATTACTAATATTAATCAATGTCTTTACCCCTCATTCTGCTTCCATGTTTACATCTCCCTTTACCACAGCTGGTTATCACTTAGGTCTTGAAAGGAGTAAAAAGTGTTAGCTTTAAACAGTGTCTTTAAGAAGCTTGGTTACATCTTAAAATAAAATACCAGCTCAACTTTTTAACAACATTTTAAGATATTCATTAAACATAGCTTGAAGATCAAACAAGCTTAATAGTTAAATGTTTTAAAGTTTTTTTGAATTTAATGTCCAAACATCACCTTATGATTTTATCCGTTTAACATTTATCAGTTATCAATATTTGTGACTCTTCGTGGGAAAGGGAAACAACATTTACAGGGATCATCAACATCCAACCTGACTTATGGTGAATGGTTTTTACTTGAATTAAATTCTGTGAGAGAAACACTTTTCAGGACATGAAATCTCTGTCCTGTGGGGCCTGTATAAATCCTGCACATGTTCATATATATATAATAACTGATATACACATCAGTTTTCATGCACAGTTCGGTATTATGGAAATTATTATTTTATTTTTCATTTATCCTTTATTTATGCAGGTAATATCATTGAGTCACGAGAACTCATTTTCAAGAGAGACCTGTTTAGGGAGCAAATATATCAGATGGTTTGATCTTATTTATCAACATGTGGAAACAGTCATGAACGACAGACCTCATAAGTCTTTTGAAAGACGTTTATGAAATTGTAGAAATGTTGCTGTGCCCTTAAAAAAAATAAAACTAGCGCTCTTTTTTTTCCCATTTCAAATAACTCCTCAACTAAAGCATTTAGATTTTTATCATCCATTTATTTTCCAGAACAGCTTTTATCACCAAGACAATACTTTTTCATTTTATTGCAAAAATATTTTAAAGTAATTATAAATATAGTTTGTGACTCTACCTCAGTGTTTATTGAGGACTGGGAAGCTCTAGCTCAGAACCCAACTGTAATTTGTGATGTAGATGATGATGGTCCCCCTCACCTCAGACTGACTCATGTTGATGATACTACTACAAAAATTCTGTTTCATAACATCCACCCATCCATTATCTATACCCACTACCTTTTCAGGTCACAGGGGTCACTGGTGACCATGTCCAGCTGTCACTGTGCGAGGCGGGGGACACCATGGACAGGTCTCCAGTCCACCACAGGGACACGGAGACAAACGAGACACACTCTCTCTCACACCTAGAGACAATTTAGAGTTACCAATCAGCCTAACATGCATGTTTTTGGTCTGTGGAAGAAAACTGGAGTACCTGGAGAAAACCCACGCATGCACCAAGAGAACATGCAAACTAGAGCAGTCATTTCTAATCCAAACACGGAGACCGGGCTGGGCCAGGCCATAATAATGTGCTTAATGTGTGGGCCAGGCTGGTGTCGGGCTTTTGATTGCGTCAGCGGACGCGCATAGCTGACGATCCAATTATATGGCAACATGGCTTGCCATACTTTCACCAGCTGCACAAGGTCATTTGACTGTGCGCTGACCAGCCGGTTGAAAGAAGTTTTAAAAAGTTCACTTAAGCTTCAGATGGACTACAGTACTGCCATTGATCCAAAGCAAACAGACGTTCATTCAGTCGCTGCACTCAGCGGACGCGCGCGGCCGACGACCCAAATAGGTGAGATCGCAAAATATACAGGTCAGAGCAGGGTCTGTGTCTGAATAAATCAGACTGCAGGCAGAAGAAGGGATTTAATGTGCTTTGACGGCCATGAAAAGACAAACACCTCCTCAGCTCCGATCTTCTGCCCCTTTTATTCAACCGCGTGCGTCCACCGACCATTAATACCTATATAAGCAGTCAAAGCTTGATTAAAAATGTCAGGGGTTTTTTTTGGGTTCGGAATTGTAATAACTGTTAATTCATCGGGTCGGGTTAGAAAATGATGACTACGGGCTGGGTCCAGGTCAGGTCTGATTTTTTGGGTTCGAATGCATCTCTAGTTTACATTAGGGCTGGGCCATATCATATCGTTCACGATAATACCGGTAAAAA